CTGCTGCGGCTGCTGCTGCTGCTGCAGTCGCTGCTGAGCGCGCGGGCCAGTGTGAAGAGTGTAGAGACCGGAGCCCGGCTCAGCAGCAAAAGTGGCGAGGGGCTGGTAAGAGTCCCCGTCAACACACACCGCAGTCTCTCCAGAAGGCTCAAACCACACACCCACGTGCTGACTCACGAGGGGTCGCACGCCCACCAAGTTCCGGGAGAACGAGGGGACGTGAAACCCAGTGAGAGACCCAGAAGGAGCAGCCGGACACGGCAAGGTGGTAGTGTGACGCGCGGTGACTGGTCCCGAAGTGGGATCAGCCAGCGCCACAGAAACAGGCGCAGGAAGAGGCGTAAGTGTCGTGCTGTCACGAAAGAAGCAGTGAGAGGCTCCAGAGTCCAGCGTGAACGACAGCGAACCGTCCTCTGAGGTAGCCGCTGGACTAGAGTCTACACAAGAACCTACACTAGCAACAGGCAACTGAGCAAGGCTAGCACCTAAGCTAACAACACCAGAGTAAGCAGAGTCAGAAACACTAGAGTCAACAACAGCATACATAGCATGGGGAGTACCAATCAGATCAACTAACTGCTCAGCAGACATGCCCCACAGAGCGGAGCCGTAGCGCTGAACAAGAGGCAGCCAGTCAGGGGCAGGAGCACCAACCCCGTAGACCAAACGAACCGTGTCAGTGAGCTGAGCAAAGCACTGACCAGGGGGGTGAAACCGGCCACAAGGGTGGCCACGACGAGTGCCTGTCAGAACCTGGTAGGTGCAGGGAGTGTAAGCAGCACCACGCTGGGTCTGACGCAGCCCCGACCCTGGAGCCAGCTGCTGCCGCTGCTGCTGCTGAGGCTGCTGGGAGGAGAGGGGCTGCTGGTAATGCAGAAGCTGCTGCTGACGCTGAGCCTGGTACCACGCCGCTGCTCCACCAACCGGGGCAGGAAGTACAGGAGGCGACTGACGAACTCGGGCGTCGCCACCACTAGCAGGCGCAGTGGAGTCACCAGTCACTGCACGAGGCGCCTCTCCAGGCCCTGAACCTCCACCGCCGCCAGGCGCAACGCCACCTCCACTACCTCCGCCTCCACCTCCACTACCACCACCAGAACCGCCTTTCTTGCCACTCCTACCGCGGGACCGCGACGCAGTCGTAACAGCAGCTGCAGTCGCGTCAGTAGCGGCAGTGGCAAGTGAGGCAGTAAAGGTGGGTAACTGCGGGACTGTGCACCCGTGGAAGAGTGGGGGGGGCACAGCACCAGAGGCAGCGGCTACCGAGCGAAGGTTGCTCTCGACGTCCTTGAGTGTAGACTCAAGGACATCGACGGTGAGCTCACTAGGGTGCTTCAGCAGAAGCGCGTCGCGAACGGAGGCAAGGCAGTCAGGGAGGCTAGTGGCGATGAAATAGATAGTAATCGCCATAGGGGGAGGAAGCAGTGCAAGCTGTGCCTCAGTGCAAGCAGCGCGGTAACTAGCGTCGAGCGAGCGGAGGTGAGCGATCAAGTCAGCAGAGCGCTCAAACGAGGCGAGATCAGGAAACAGGAACGGGAGGAAAAGACGGCCAAGAGAGACAGTAGCGGGAGTAGAGTAGCGGGCCTTAATCGCAGTGAGGTACGCAGCAGCGGTGCGAACCTGAGTGAAGTGGACCTCCTCTGACTCAGGGAGGAGGCTGCTGAGTGCGATGCAGGCCGCAGCGTCACGCGACGTCCAAGCCGTCCTGTCAGCGCGCTGACGGGCAAAGCGAGCCGTAGCAGCATCGTCAGGGGCAGGACCTAAAGCGGCAGGCTCGGGGGGCTCGGGGAGGTCACCAGTAGCGTGCGACCAGAGGGTCTCGCCCCCCTGGACTTGACTCTCTAACAGACGGCGAGCGCGAAGAAGCCAGACGGAAAAGTCAAGAGGTCTACCGTCAGCGTCGAAACGAAGAACTCGCGGAGTCGCCATAGCGAGAACTAACGCGAACGAGCAGGCGAGTAACAGCAGGAGGTAAGAGGCAAATTAGGGTTCAGGTGGGGGGGGGGGGACTTAGTCGCAGCGGAAGAACGGGCTAGGGCGACGGTGTCGGAATAGTAGGTATAGTGAGAGGCCATAGCTAGGAGAACCCTAGCTAGGCAAGAGAGAATTGAACGAAAGAGGGGTTTGCACTAGCAACAACGGTGGTACAAATAGCTAACCCTAGAAGGGCTGTACTCGCTATAGAGCACCCCACTGCAGGCTAGAGCATAATATTCTGACACACCCCCATAGCCAAAGTGGGGTGTAATCAGCACAGCAAGCAAAGCAGTAGAAGCTCAGGGTGGATCACGATGTCACCACACATTCTGAGCACATGAACAAGAAGCAAAAGTTTAAAGTTCACAATTATGGGTAAAGCTAAAGCTGTCACAGAGGGCAAGCGAGGAGGAGGAGGGCTGGTGAGATGAGAGAAGAGTGGAGGCGACGACTGAAGCTGCAGACACTCGGGCAACAGACGGCTCTGGTGCAACGCTGGTGGCTACCGGGAGGAGAAAGGCCCCGGAATACAGGAGTAACAGGCTCTGCAACTGATCAGCCAGCGACAGTAGCAACGGACCCACGGGCGACAGGTGCAACCGGCTCTCTGAGCTACCGGGAGAAGAAAGGCCCCGGAATACAGGTGCTGCGGACGACACGACGGCAACCTCCGCTCAACCTCCTCCAACTGCCCCACACACCCCTCGACACACACCCCCTGCTGAACCCTAGCTCCACTCCCACGGCACCCCCCTTAAACCCCAAACCCTAGGCTCCCACACACCACCCCCCTCAGCGGCAGCTGTAGCAGAGGGAGACTAGGGAGGAGGAGGAGGAGCAGGGAACGGCACGCAGTGTCTTCACCCCCATACCCCTCACCCCCAAACCCTAATTCAGGAGAACGGGCTGTAGGAGGGGTGGGGCGCCAGTAGAAGCACGGGGGACAGTGGGGAGGGCAGGGGCAGCGAGGAACGGGCCGCCCACGGGCCTGGCACAGCCGCCCGAACCGCGCGCAGGCGGCCCGAGCCGCGCGCGGGCCTGGCGCTTCCCGTACGGGCCGCGCGCGGGCCTGGCGCAGCCCGTACGGGCCGCGCGCGGGCCTGGCGCAGCCCGTACGGGCCGCGCGCGGGCCTGGCGCAGCCCGTACGGGCCGCGCGCAGGCCTGGCGCAGCCCGTACGGGCCGCGCGCAGGCCACGACGGGCGACGGGAGGCGAGTCGACGGTGGGGGGGTGCGCGCGGGTCCCCGGAGGCGACGCGAGGGTCGACGGGGGCGACGCGACGTGCAGGGTGGGGGCCGCGAGTGCTCCCCAGGGCGCCGCGACGGACGGGCGGGGTGCGCGCGGGCTCCCCCACGGCTGGAAACCGCCGCGCGCCTCGGCGCGCACGGCGGGCAGGGAACCGCCGCGCGCCCCGAGCGCGCGGCGGGATGAAAAATTGAAGGCCGCGCGCCACGGGGCGCGCGGCACAGAGTAGGGCAGCGGAAGCAGTAGTGGGGCCCACAGGCCAAGAGCGTAACCGCTCTGATAGCATGTCGGAATAGTAGGTATAGTGAGAGGCCATAGCTAGGAGAACCCTAGCTAGGCAAGAGAGAATTGAACGAAAGAGGGGTTTGCACTAGCAACAACGGTGGTACAAATAGCTAACCCTAGAAGGGCTGTACTCGCTATAGAGCACCCCACTGCAGGCTAGAGCATAATATTCTGACAGACGGGCCAGGGCGTAGGGTCGACGGGACGGGGGAAAGGGCGGGCGCGATGCGACGGGGCAGGGCGACGCGACGGGGCAGGGCGACGCGACGGGGCAGGGCGACGGGACGGGGAAGGGCGACGCGACGGGGCAGGGCGACGCGACGGGGCAGGGCGACAAGACGGGGAAGGGCGACGCGACGGGGCAGGGCGACGCGACGGGGCAGGGCGACGGGACGGGGAAGGGCGACGCGACGGGGCAGGGCGACGCGACGGGGCAGGGCGACGGGACGGGGCAGGGCGACGTGACGGGGGGAAAGGGCGCGACGCGACGGGGGGAAAGGGCGCGACGCGACGGGGGGAAAGAGCGCGACGCGACGGGGGGAAAAGGGCGCGACCCGGCTGGGGGGAAAGGGCGCGACGCGACGGGGGGAAAGGGACGCGATGAGGGGGGAAGGGCGGGCAGGACGCACGGGGCACGACGGACGGGCAGGAAAGCGCAATTTCGCCAGCGAGGGTGCGACGAGGCGAGCGTAGCGCGACGGGCCAGCGAGGCGCTCACCATGGGTAAAGAAAGAAGACTTAAACCCGAGGAACGGGTGGCTCTGATACCATGTCAGAATGAAGAATGGATGATGCATTGATGTTGGTTGGGGTACATATAGCTAACCCTAAGTTTTGTACCCCCTAAGACAAACCTCACTATAGGCTACAACATTTGACAGGTCAGCGCGTGGAGAAATTCGCGCTTCGCAAGGGTAAAAATGTACGCGTTATTTCAACTTTCGCTATAATATATTGAAGTTTCGATTATAAGACATATATGTCTTATCTCGTACACACAAATAGGTGTCTTATAATGAGGCTAGCCTGTTTATAAGAGACACCCGTATAGTAGACAACCCCTGTCTACTATTCAACACTGTCTTATATCCGGGCGTTTACGGTAGGATTTTCCGTTGAGAGCATCCCCCCCAATTTTTCCCTGTGGTTATCATAATACCCCCGGGTGTTATGTCCGGGTGATTACGGTATTTGAACATCTCTAAAACACCATCAGTAGAGCTCCAAGCAGTACAAATGCACCAAAATTCTAATTAAACTGCACACCAGGATGTTACAACTAAGCTGATTAGAAGATGATTACAACCCCTCATTAGAAAAGTGAGCCTACTAGATGCATTCCCCGCCTCATTTTCCTAAAAACTAAAAGAAACGAGAAACAACAGCATTACTAATGGTGGAAACCACCCAGGGACCCTTACAAGCTATGGCCTAGGTACATGCACCCTCGTGGTGGGCCAGTAGTGACGCAGTCACCAGCGGCAGGATCAGGATTAGTAGTCACACCAGAAGCAGAACAACGGCTTGTACATTTGCCCACGCCGCCACCCCTTGCTCGTTGTCATGTTCAGATAATACGCGTACGGTGACGCGTAGATGTCATCAATGACACTTGTAACGCTCATGCCGTTGTACGCTGCCACGTAGGACGCGTTAACGATCCATGACGTCATGGTGTATTCCTCGTCATCCTTCGCAGGAGTGCCGGGAACCACCAGCACAACTTTACCGAACGTCGTTGGCAGGCCCTTGCGAATTGTCACTGATTTTATCTTCTTGTCTGATTGAGTCTCGAACTTGAAAGAAGTGATATTGTTGTACCTGAGAGTAGGAACAAGCATTATGAACACGTTGAGCAAATTGAAATTGCAAAGCCCTCGGCCCTCCGTCCTCCTACTGTCACGTTACGTAGCAATTCAAAGTAAACCAAAATTCTTTTTTATATATATAAGAAAACGGTAGGCACAGAATCGACACGCAAGACCCGCATCCCAACCGTTACTTACGTGTACTTGGTGATCTCGAGCTTGCCTTCCTTGTCGCCGTCGTCATCACGTCTGATGTCGACTAAAAAACCGACAGGCTAAAAAACCCGCACCCCAACGGTTACTTACGTGTACTTGGTGATCTCGAGCTTCCCTTCCTTGTCGCTGTCGTCGTCACTTCTGATGTCTACTTAAAAAATTGACAAGCTATAAACCCGCAACCCAACGGTTACTTACGTGTACTTGGTGATCTCGAGCTTGCCTTCATGATCGCTGTCGTCATCGTCGTCAACATCGTTGTAGTCGCCCGTGTTCTCCGCCTTGCCCTTGAGCACGTCTGAGAGCGGAACCGATGGAACGCGAGAGAGGAATGAAAAGGAAATCTTTTGAGGTTTCTCAAAATTCATGCACATTGTTGTAGTCGCCCGTGTTCTCCGCCTTGCCCTTGAGCACGTCGAGGCCAAGATCGAAACAGCACGAGAGAAGGGGGGATGATAAGGCAAAGCAGCGAGGAAGAGAAAAGCATTAGATGTGGTGGGTGTGGGTGGCTCTTGTTGGGGAGGGGGGGAAGGATGCGCGCAGCAGCGCATTAATGAAGCGGTGGCAGGAGCACTTAGAACAGCAAGCATTTGGTGGCAAAGGCTCAATGCACTGCGCTACCAGGATGAATCATGAGGGCATCGTACACAGCTTCACGCCGGGGATGGAGCTCTCATGGTCGGTTCTAAGGGCCGCGAAAAACTCGTTGACGAAATAATAGAAACGTGATGATAAATATACTATAAAGGAAGGGCATCGTACACAGCTTGGTGCCGGGGAAGGAGCTCTGCACGTCCTTATGGAGGGCGGCGAAGAACTCGTTGAGGAAATCCGTGATGGCCGTGATGTTGACCTCAGGGATCTGCGCGCTCGCCTTTGGCGCGGCTCCCAGCACGAGGAAGCACACGAGCACGCCTGCGCACGGGTGCAGGGGGAAGCGGGGGCGGGGGCGGGGCGGGAATATGAGTCAACTCGTTGAGGAAATCCGTGATGGCCGTGATGTTGACCGCAGGGATCTGCGCGCTCGCCCTTGGCGCGGCTCCCAACGCGAGGAAGCACAGGACCACGCCTGCACGTGGTTGCAAAAGGGGGGCGGGCGGGGCGGGTGGCGGGGGGGAAAACTCGTTGAAGCGATCCGTGATGGCCGTGATGTTGACTTCAGGAATCTGCGCGCTCGCCTTTGGCGCGGCTCACAGCACGAGGAAGCACACGAGCACGCCTGCGCGTGGACGCAGGGGGAAGCGGGAGGGGGGGGGCAGGGCAGGGCAGGGCGGGAATGAGTCAACTCGTTGAGGAAATCCGTGATGGCCGTGATGTTGACTTCAGAGATCTGCGCGTTCGCGTTTGGCGCGGCTCCCAACACGAGGAAGCACACGAGCACGCCTGCGCGTGGATGCAGGGAAGGGCAGGGCGGGGCGGAGCGGGGCGGAGCGGGGCGGGAATGAGTCTACTCGTTGAGAAAAATGGGATGGCCGTGATGTTGATTTCAGGGAATTGCAGGCTCGCCCTTGGCGCCGCCCCCGACTCGAGGAAGCACACGAGCATGCCTGCGCATGGGTGGCGGAAATAGATGCGAACGTGTTTCATTGATGCAGTACTCCCACAAGGAGCACGTGTTTCATTGATGCAGTACTCCCACAAGGAGCACGTGTTTCATTGATGCAGTACTCCCACAAGGAGCACGTGTTTCATTGATGCAAGGAGCACGAGAACCAGCAGGTGCACGTGTTTCATTGATGCAGTACTCCCGCAAGGAGCACGAGACCCAGCAGGTGCGCAGCGTGATATCGCGGAACGACGCGCGACAGCGCGCGACGACCAGCAGTCACGTGAAGAGTTCACGACGTGCGACGAAACGCGAAGGCATGAATTTAAATAGCAGCAGGGCGGCACGAAAAAAGAGTTTTAAATCGCAGGCTTCAATAGTTCTGTAGCTTACAGGATAGTACGTGCGCCGTTGACCTCATTGTGGTGGGCGGCAGACTGAGGCCGGATGCGAGGCAAGCGGACAGCTCGGAAGTGGAGGAAACGAGTGTTGGCGGCGGATAGCTGTGTTTGCAGAAGAGGTTAACTTAAGTAAAGCTGTAAGCTGTAGTGTTAACGCCTGGCACAAGGCAGTCGATCGCGAGAGATAGCACTGGAAGGTTGAGTGATAGTCTTCTCAAGAAAGTTTAACGATATCGAAAGACGTTTTGGTGGAAGGTAGTCAATGTGGGCTCTTTTCTGCTTGCACAGCCCCCAATTTGCTGTTTTGCTGGAGCGGAAGCGCTACTACCAACCAGGGCGTGCTTGTGAAGGACAGAATGTACTTGGGAGTGGCAGCTTGTGCAAGGGAATACCTTGCTCAGATGCCCCTCTCCCGAGGCGATTTCGCCTTGATGTGCTTTTCCCAATGTCGAGTTGGAACTTGGATCATCCTCCGTGTCGCTACCGACCCGACGCGCATTGCGACTCGGAACATCTCGTTGCAGTGCACATTTCCAAGGGCTCCCCCCGATACTGGCACGGGTGTACACCTTTGTTGATTTTGCCCAGGGCTACGCGTGTCGCAGGGTGCCTATTCCATCCGCTTCGAGGATGCAGGATTTTCTGTCGAAACGTTTTCTTCACTGCCCTTCCACACCACTAAGGATTGACACGTTCTTCATAGGGCTACGATTTACAAAAGTGTTCGGGAAAATCAAAGTCGGTCTGCCCGCATTCCCAGGAAGGCGACGTGTTTTTTTTTGTGCTGCATGTTCCGATATGGCCAAGCACAGTGAATATTTGCAACCAAATATGTGTTTGCCTGACATGCATTCTTCTCCATAACACAAACTTTTTGGGACTTGCATATCATTGTTGAAGAAATCTGTCTGGCTCCATGATGTGTATGACACCTGACTTGTTAATACTGGATTAAGGAGGATTTCTATTGATCATTCATCAAATATAGTGCTTTCTATGAAATAAAGAGCTTGCGAACACACTTTATGTGCTTTATGCGGATATATCCAAAGGATCTAGTGAATAGGATAAGTCTGCCAAGTCTAGGAGGAGACAATAAAGCCTCTGTAGTGACCTTGTTGGAAAGTAGTTGAAAGAGAACAAGACAATTAAGATATAGGAATACAAGAGATTAAATAGCAAACTAGCTAGCCATATACTCTGAGGGGTACATTCCCTTATTAACTGTATTGCAAAACTACAGTAACCACGTGTCAGAATCGGAAGTGTTGGTTCATTGATGGTGGTTGGGGTACAAGTAGCAAACCCTAACATGTGTACCCCCTAAGACAAACCTCACTACAGGCTACCAACATTTGACACACCCCCATAGCCTAAGTGAGGGGTGTCTAGCAAAACCAAAAGAGTACGGTCATAAGACCAGTCACAAAGAAACAAAGCTCAGGGTGGATCACAACGTCACCACACACTCTGAGCACAAGCAACAATGGCCACAAGGCCAGTCCAAGAAATAACAGAGTTATATAGAAAGGGTACAAGCAAAACAAACAGTGAACTCAAGACTAAGTAAGCCGAAAACCAGTGTCAACAAGGCCTAACTGCACACAACACCTGTGGTGGTCACAAGGCGGAAGCGCCTTGGTGAAGATGTCTGCAGTGTTGGCCTCAGACTCCACAAACTCGAAGCGAGCCTGCCCACGTCTCTGCAACTCTCGCAGAAGGAAGTACCTGACGTTAATGTGCTTCACTCTGCTCTCCAGTCGTGGCTCTCGACAAAGGAGAATCGATGCCTTGTTGTCAGTGAACAAGGTCGGTGCAGAGCTCGGCCGCTCACCCAGGTCGGCGAGCAAGAACGTCAACCAACGCAACTCCTGTGCCGCCATGGCACCAGCGTAGATCTCAGCCTCAGCTGTAGAGGTCGAGACCGAAGAGGAGCGCGTGGACCGCCAGGAAACAGCTCCAGAACCCAGACTGAAACAGTACCCCTGAGTAGACCTGTGAGTCTCAGCGTCGTCAGCGTAAGAAGAGTCACAGTGACCAGTAAGTACAACAGCCTGCTGCCCTCCAAGAACTAGCCCCACGCCTGATGTCGTCGCTAGGTACTTCGCCACCCTCACAGCTGCTGTCCAGTGAACAGGACGGTGTCTCCCTGGCGCAACAAAGCGCGCAAGGATGCTGAGAGGGAAAGCGAGGTCCGGGCGAGTACAAGTCATCAGGTATATGAGGCAACCCACAAGCTCTGCGTAGGGACCACTAGGCTCAAACGGCTCGTCAGGAAAGGGGCCAGTGAGTCTGTGGTCAACAGCAAGAGGTGTGCGCTATACTGTGGAGTGCTGAAGCTCGAACCGCTGAAGGACCTGCTGCACCATGTGTGACTGTGAGAGTGTAATGGTGCGAGCAGCTCTGTCCCTGGTGATCTGCAGCCCAAGGTAATGGCGCAGCTCACCAAGGTCAGTGCATGTGTGTCTCTTCTGCAGTTCGGACTTCACGTCTGCCAAAGCAACCCTGTCAGCAGTGGCGAAAACTAGGTCGTCGACGTAGACCAGAATGAAGAACGGTGTGGAGCCACGGCGAACAAACAGCGACGGGTCGGCAGAAGACGGCTGGAACCCAAGGTCAGAGAGGGTAGAGCGGAGAGTGTCGTGCCACTCACGAGGGGCCTGGCGAAGACTGTAGACAGGTCGCCTCAGCCTCCACTGGGTCCCAGGAGGGAAAGTGCCAGTGAAGGCAGAGGGACAACGCAGCCAGACCTCCTCGTGTAGGCTGCCCTGAAGAAAAGCAGTGGAGAAGTCGAGAGAGTGTAACTCGTAGTCTCTCTGTGCTGCTACGTGCAGTAACACCCGAAGAGTGGTCATCTTCGGGGTCGGCGCGAAGGTCTGAAAGAAGTCAACTCCCTCGCGCTGACTGAAACCTCTAGCAACGTAGCGCGCCTTGAAGACTGGAGGAGATCCTGGTGGCCGCTTCACCCTGTAGATCCACATGCCATCGACTACGTTCGTCCCAGGGGGAGGAACCTCATCGACGTAGGTGCCTGTGGATCTGTAGGAGGCCATCTTTGCGTCCATGGCAGCTCTCCACTGAGAGGCCCAAGGCCCTGACACTGCCTCAGCGTAAGTGCGAGGAGTCGGAATGTCAAGGGCGTCGGGGTCACCCTCAGGGGTGAGGAGCATGGCACAGAGATGAGGGGAAGCGGCCGCCAGGAACTCTAGCTCAAACTGCCTGTCCTCTAGGACGTCACAGCCAAGGGCAGACACACCTCCGACGGCCAGAGGACTGGTAGGAGGAGCAGCCACAAGAGTGGTGGCGTAGTCAAGGCGGCGAGTAGAGGCAAACTCAGTGACCGTGGCAGTAAGAGCGGAGACGGAGGACAAAGAGGCACGAGGGTGGGTAACAAGAGAGGCAAGAACACGAGAGAGAACAGGACGGTACGTGCGGTAGTAGTCAGTGATAGGGGTAGAGAGAGAAGCTGTGAGGGCCGACTCAGGAGGAGAAGGAAGCACAGGAGGAGCCGAACGAGACGGACTAGAACGTAACAAGACAGTACGAAGGTCTGTGAAAGGAACAGGGGACGAGGGACGAGCACGAGGAGAGCGACGAGTAGCCCAAGTACGAGACGGAGGAGGAGAGGACAAAGGCAGAGAACTGGGGAAAACAGCGGGGGAGGAGTCAGGAGGAGGAAACGTGGGACCGTAGACAGGAGGAGAGGCGGAGGAGGGAGGAGAAGGAGAGGGGAGACCAAGGGTCCGAAGACCCGAGACAGGAGGAGGAAGTGGCTGCTGCTGCTGCTGCTGCGGCTGCTGCTGCTGCTGCTGCTGCGGCTGCTGCTGCTGCGGCTGCGGCTGCTGCTGGGACTGCTGCTCCTGCGGGTCCAGCTGCTGCTGCTGCTGCTGCTGCTCCTGCGGCTCCAGCTGCTGCTGCTGCTCCTCCAGCCGCTGTAACTCCCTCTCCTCTCTCTCCAACGCCAGCTGCTCCTCACGGGCACGGCGAACACGAGCCTGGTGCCTAGTCGGGTAGGGGTGGGGGGGCGGAGTAGTGTCCGGAGCAGCGGCAGCTCCAGAGTCCACCCCCGAAGGACCAGGCGCACCACCCCCAGAGGCAGCACTAACACCAGCTCCAGACCCAGGCTCACCAGAACCCGAAAGAGGCGCACCCTCACCCCCAGACGGAGCACCCCCAGTGTCCGCGCGACCAGCACCAGCTCCCGGAAGACAAGAGTCCTCTGCACCCACCGGCTCAGCTCCAACTCCAGCACCCCCAGAACCAGAAACCGGTACAGGAACAGGCTCGGCACCAACCTCTCGAGAGCTAGCACCTGCGGCACGCTGCGAGGAGGACTGTGGGGAGGGAGGCTGTACCGGAGGGGCTACCGAAGGAGGAGGGGTAGCCTGGGACACACCTGACGGGGCTGGACCAGGGGGGGGAGGCTGTACCGGGGGAGCAGGAGGGGGAGCGGCAGTCAGGAAGAGGGGGGGAGGAGGAACCGGGAGACCTCGACTGGGGTACCTGACGTAGTACGGGGTGGACTCCTCGAAACGGACGTCACGGGAGTCAAAGAACCGGTGAGAGGGAGGGTGGTAAAAGGTGAAGTCAGAGGAGGCCTCAGGAAAACCAAGGAAGACACAAGGAACGGCGCGAGGCGA